TTAGCAGTAAAATGCCGCAGGTAAAGTCATGCATCCATTTCTGCCTGAGCGCTGTTCTTTCGCCCTATTACTTGCTAAATGCATCGGCCTGTCATTTCAGTTCGATTGAGAGTTGAAGGAGAAAGGCACTTTTAGACATCACTGTCCCATCACGATATTAACATGCAAAGTATTTAATCAAAGAACCTCTTGTAGACACCATGCGTAAGAGGTTGCTGTGTCTCAATTCTTCTATTTAATATATATATATATATATATATATATATATATATATATAATATACACACACATATATATATATATATATATATATATATATATATATATATATATACACACATGTACACACACACACACATATATATATATATATATATATACACATGTACACACACACACACATATATATATATATACACATACACATGTACACACACACACATATATATATATATACACATGTACACACACACACACATATATATATATATATACACATGTACACACACACATATATATATATATACACATGTACACGCACACACACATATATATATATATACATATACACTATACACACACATATATATATATATACACATGTATACACACACATATATATATATAATACACATGTACACACACACACATATATATATATATACACATGTACACGCACACACATATATACATGTACACGCACCTATACACACACATGTATATACATGTACACGCACCTATACACACACATATATACATGAACACGCACCTATACACACACATATATACATGAACACGCACCTATACACACACATGTATATATACACACACACCTATACACACACATGTATATACACACACACACACATACACACACATGTATATACACACACACACCTATACACACACATGTATATACACACACACACCTATACACACACATGTATATATACACACACACACCTATACACACACATGTATATATACACACACACACCTATACACACACATGTATATATACACACACACACCTATACACACATGTATATATACACACACATATATATACACACACATATATACATGAACATACATATATACATGTACACGCACATATACACACATATATACACGCACATGTACATGTACACCTACATATGCACACACATATACATGTACACCTACATATGCACACACATATACATGTACACCTACATATACATACACATATACATGTACACCTACATATACATGCACATATACATGTACATCTATATATACATGCTCATATACATGTACATCTATATATACATGCTCATATACATGTACACCTATATATACATACACATATACATGTATATATATATATATATATAACACTGGCATTGTTGCAAATAACTATGTGTAAATTTCGGATCCATTACATCGAGCATGTTCATTTCCCAAAACTGCTGTCGGGAAAATCTTGAATATCATTTCCATTGCCTTATATTAGGTGCGTATTGTGTTTTTTGCCTAACATTATTGGAGTAGAAGCAAAAAAGAAAAATCAAAAAATAATTCATGCTACCGAATATCGGAAGTTAAATAAATCATTGGCCGCATTTTCGCCGTAACAACTTAACATTTCTCACACTGCCTTCTGCTCAAGCGAGGTCGTATTTTGGTCATTTGATCGAAGTTTCACCTTGATAGTACCATCTTTCTTGCTGCTGTTACAGTGTAAACATGGCCGCTCCGCTAGCAGTGTGTAGCAAGTAGGAACAAAGAGCATTGTTACGAATATGCAGAGAACATGCTACCAAACCGATGGTAATTCGCTGGTTTGCTATTACCGTCTTTCAATCATACAGTGTCTTGTCGTCAGTGGTGGTTGTTAACGGGCGTTCCGTTCATTCTTTGTGTATCATGCTTGCCAGGCCTCTTTCAAACCTCGATCCGTTCATACATATACCTACTTTGTCGCCATATTGCGTTAAAAGCTTCCGATTAATGTAACCCTTGACACATCTCCCAATCTTGGAAATCGGATTATTGCATTTTGTTTCTCCTTGGTGAACTCTGCTAGTCTGTAAATATATTCTGGATTGTATAAATCTTTACTCAAATATATATTATTGTTTTAGAACGGTTAGTTTTGACTATAACTGAAACGGACATCTCTCTCCTCCGATTTAGCTCTATCGTCTTAGATTTGTGTAGATGGGAACAGGGTGATTATATTCAATGCCTCAAAAACTAACTAGTTACATTCCATCATTGGCACTTGCAGCCTAAACTAACACTAATCATGATGAATGATTATTCCCTCGTATAGAGCCTGTATCTTGGGCGACTACTGGGTCGTAATCTCAGTCTAGATCCTAAGTGAAACTTGTGGAGAAGATCGATCGCTAAATGTGCAAGAAAAAATGTCGGTTCCAGTAAGTTCCGAACACCACGTGCTATCCTCTACATTACAGCGACAGATCAGATCTAAAATGGAGTACTGTTTTCATATTTCTGCAAAAACTGACCAGTCTCCACTTTATAGTCTCGATATCGTCCAAGATCCTCTCTGAATACTTGTGGGTTACAAATTATTTTCCATTTTGCAACCCCTCTCTCACAGACGAAAAGTTATAAGATTCTAGCTGCTCTATCACTACTTCCGTGGAAAGTACTCAGACGAGAAACAATCCTTCATTGTATCAGCTCTAAACTTCAGGTCTACGACATTTCATGATATACACATTGTAGCGAACTGTCTTCATTCTCTCTGTATTCCATTGGTAAGAAGCAAGTTCCAGTCTAGGAGCTTCTTCCCGCGACCTACTTCGCAGAAGAGGATATTTTCCCGATCACTACAATCTTAACATGTTTATACTTAATCTTAACAGTTATATTCCCATTATATCCTTATAAAATATACCATTTACTCTGTAGCCATCTACTTCGAGTAGCATCAGAACCTTAACTTCATATTCCTTTTCATTTCCCTAGATAGTTTCATTTTCTTTTTTTTTCAGTTTTTAGGTCATTTCGTCTATATTCCCGAAACGTTTCTTGTGACTCATATAATTTCCTTGTATGTAGGCATCCTTTTATTTGATATATAAGCATATCAGAAAGCATTATTCATTTTAGTAGAACCATTTTTTGTTGTGGCAATGCTACATGTTTAGATGATGGAAACCAATCGCTATTAAAATTCTATCTGGTTTTAGATACTTACTTGACCCAGGGATCCGTCCCTGTGCTGGTGGTATCACGGCTACCACTAGCGTGGACCGGGTCTGACCGGTTTGGACCAGGTAAGACCAGCTATGACTAGCTTAGACTAGCTATGACCAGCTAAGACTAGCTTAGGCAAGATAAGACTAGCTTAGACTAGCTTAGGCAAGCTATGACCAGCTAAGACTAGCTTAGGCAAGCTATGACCAGCTAAGACTAGCTTAGGCAAGCTATGACCAGCTAAGACCAGTAGCCCAAGTAAAACACACGGGTCCCCACATTGAAAACTGACCTTGTGTCACAACTTGACTCAGTGGGGAGTTAATTATATAAACCTGGCCCAGGGATCCGACCCTTGCTAGTGGTATCACGACTACCGTGGACCGGCTCTGACCAGCTATGACAAGCCAAGACCAGCTCTGACTAGCTTAGACCAGTTTGGACCATCGGACCGAGTGAAAACACTCGGGTCCCCCCGTTAAAATCTGACTGTGTCACAACCTGACTCAGTGTGTGTGTGTGGGGGGGATAAATCTTCGTCTACCTGGTTTTATGGGGATTTTCAAGGCGTATCTCAGATGTGGCACTAGGTCGAAAGTATGTGACGTCCAGTTAGGATCGAACTCACTATTCAGTCGTAATAGTTCTATCGAAACCAGTGTATTACTATCCCACGTTGAGATGTCCATACCTTCGGTTATGATTGCTCCTGTATTCATTTATGTGACATGATACTGCCTAAAATTATGTTGTTTACTGTTGCATAATAATTTCTTCCAAAACAAGGCAATAAATCTGACTTGGACTCAAGGTCTTAATGAGAGTAAAAGACACTGAAAGTGCAACAAAATAACAGGATTCAAGGAAACAGAAGATAAAGTTTGATATTGCACTTAAAATTATAAATATAATAGCTGACAGAAATGCAGCAAGCCGGACGTGTGTTCCACAAGCGAGAAATTTGAAAAGTTCCCATTTATTAAATGTTGTGTTTTCGAATATGACATTTTGAAATAACTACACCTGTTCAAACTACAATATTGATAACTTCAAAAAGGTATATATGTATGCTTTTAATTCAAATATGGAGAAGTTTATTCCTGACTGAATATTTAAAATATTTCAATTCCCAACCCAACCAAATGAACTCGTGCACTCACATCAACTCGATACACGTAACTCAATTTATGTTATTGACAATGTAGTTTCTTGAGTAAATGTATCTCATCTTGTCTTAAATCATATGCATAGATATAGAAAGTTGGCAAAAGTTTTATTCTCTGGTCGCCTCGCAGCTGCTGGCTGTCTTCCAGGCTTTCGTCTAGTCTCCCGGGCGCTACGGACTAAGTCTTTATTTCTATAAATGCCGAGCCACTTTCAGAAGAGACTTTCTCATTTCCCGCCATTTCTCTTATATCTATAACCCGTAGACTTGAATTAAGAATTTTCGCGGTGCTTTGCTTTACAGTTAATTTCGTAGAAGTCAATTCTTTTGAGTATTCACTGGGTCTTTTTATAGACGAATTGCTTCGCTTCCTCTAATCTTACACACACGTGTATATAGATATATATATATATATATATATTAATGTGCGTGTGCTAAGAGAGGTTCAATGTTAAATACTGTACTTATTACAGTTTGTGGCCGAAATATTTTTCACACGAGCCCGTGGCCACTGTTCAAAGGCACTTTAAACTGACGTCTCCCAAAGATTGTTTTTGAGTAAAGAAGATACATTCACTAACTACCTTTCATCAACCATTTTCATTTTTTTGATGTATCAATC